GAGCTGTAGATGCTGTGAAGACATTTATGTAAGCAGGCGCTCGGAATGCAAGGCCAACAATATCTGTGGAAGAGCCTGGTGTTCCCAGGCCATATGTGGACTTGGTCCTAATACATTGTTCTGCGAGAAAAGCCGACCTATGGAGTGATCTGACAGAAGCCGGTAACTTCCGCCAGATACGAGGTGGTTTTCGCGACAATGTTGCGAAGCGAAGGGATTGTTTGACGTACTCTCTTAGTTCCAGATCAGCCTCTGTTCTCCGCTTCATGTATTGCGTGATGACAACAGGGTCGTAGACAACTTCGACGCGTTGCTGCGTGGATCCGTCAGCTAAACGAACATCACGAGTGATTCTGATCGCTCGCTTTGCGTGGCGGCTCGAGGATGTGAAACCGCTTATCTGACTCGTGCCGTCATCGATATGGGCAGGCGTCGGCGCCGAGTGGACGTTAAAACGGTCGTCTTCGTCTTCTGTCACCGCGATATCATTATCATCGTGTTCTTGAGGGTCTGACAATGTAGATTTTTGCTTTTCCCAAATTTCCCGGATGCCCTCCTCGTACATGGCCTGCTGCTTCTTGACATTGTACGCATGGCCGCCATTGGCGCGTTTTTCTCGCTCCATCGCGTCCGCCGACGTGGCGAGAGGACCTTGAACGGCCTCGATATAGCCTCCCTTCATAGATGTACGGATGAAGCTGAACCCAAGACCATGGCCTGTAGGGTCGCCTTCGCCGTGGAGTTGAAGCATGGCCTTCTGGGCACATGCATCAATGAATGCCTTGGTTGTTTTCCAAGGAGCCATCTTATCCGCAAGTGTCTCCTCCTGCTGGGCAGCCTTTTTTCCGCCTCCTGCAGCCTTCACGATCTTACTGCCCTCGTCATCATCATCGCCATCATCAGCATCGGCGTCCGCCATCTGAACATCATCGTCGAAGTTGGCATTTCTAGGATCGTACCCAGCATCCTCGAGCTCCTTGATACCTAGCTGCATGGCATCGAGCAGCGACACCTCCTCGGGCTTAATCATAGCACGGACAGAGCTCTCGTCGGGTAGGATCTCCCCCGGCTTCAGTCGCCACATACCCTTTTCGCCACTCCTGTCATACTGAAGGAATTCTTTCAGTTTCTGACGATTTTGCGTATCAGTGGATTCTGCAATATGCTTGGTAATGTCTTGCAATTGACAGTTGTCGGTTTTGCTGTGTCGAATCATACGGAACGCCAGCATTTTCATGCGATTCTTGGATGCATTGGTAACCTTTCTGCTGTGGGGTCCTGGCACTTCGACCGAAGGGAAAGTCTGGCCGACAACATGCAGGTGATCGATCTTGTGGATAAACCATTTGGATCCATTTGTCCCAGTGGTACTGCGCACTATGAGAAAATCCGTATTTCGAGGAGTGTGTTTGAATACTGGAGCTCGATACATCTCATTATGGAGAGTAGGAACCGTCTCACCAGCGTCAACGGTTCCAAACAACGAGAATGGCGATCGGTCTTCGGGTAACAACATGCGATATTCCCCGAGCTCTCGTTTCGGGAGCTGTTCGTCGTCTTTGGCGTCCTTCCGGCGGTAATAATTGATAAGCTTGCTACCCATCCCGAAATTGTTAAGCACCCTAGGTCTAGGTTCACAATATTCAAACAAAACAGCTGTAGAATTGTCGCTGATACTGAGCGACTTGGAGTCCTTGAAGACCTCCGAGATCTTCTTCCGCATTTCTTTCCTCCTGAAATGAGCCGGCTTTTCAAACCTGATGGGCTGGCCAACGAACTTCTTGTATCGGAAACGTGGACGATGGTACTCGTCCGTTGTGCCAGGAAGTTTGACTTTATAGTATGGCCAAGTGAGTTTGATAGCAGGCATACTGTGTTCCACGGAAATGTTGCCGAGTGTCGCACGCACCTTGCTCTGGTGGTTTTCTTTGAGCAGTTCGTATGCGTCATCGTTGGACATATTAAATCGCGAAAACAAATTGCGACTGATCTTCCCACTCGGAACATGCTTCCCTTCAGGTCCGTCTTGACGGGGGCGCTTAGCAACTCGTTGAGATTCTTGAGGATCAATGAGAAGGTGGGGGTCGGATGCGTCAAGCTGCACTCGTTTGGCTCCTCGTCTCGTGGTTTCTTCGAAATTATCGAAAGATGGGGCAGTATATCGAGGGATTTCTGGGAGGCCAGGTTTGATCGTTTTGCGCTTCTTGGGGGGGGCTGGAGTGTCCACCACATCGTCCATGAGGAACTCTGCGTTCCATTCATCGTCGTCTTCCTCTTCAAACAGCCGCTTTCTGGATGTCGCCTCCTTCCGCTCCTCGGCTTCAAGAATAGCAAAGTCTTTCTCAATCACCCCTATCTGGGCATACCAATCTTCGCAAGCCATCTCGATATCGCGAAGCGTGAATCCCATGACAGTTTCTGATTCGTCTACTTGATCGATATCGAACTGAGCAATACTCTCCTCTTCTTCCACCGTGTCGTCGTAGCAAAAGACCAGCCCCTTGTGGTCATTGCCCTCTGTCCGAGACGTCGCTGGAGGACCAGGTAGTCTGAAGTGGGTGACACTGTCTTGGTCGAGCTCAAGCGTCAGCTTGCTTGTGACGAGACGCTTGGGCTTCTTGAGGGGCTTCTTCTCCTTCCAGATGGCCTTCTTTGCCGGCAAGAGCTCACTCCACGTAAGAATACGCCCTTTCTTGTAAGCAGGCCATGCTGCTTTGAGTAAATCCTCGACGGTCTCAGCAGGAGCGGGAATATCAGGATCTTGGTTCGCTGTTAAACGTGGCTCGGGATCGAAATTGATGCCAGGAAATATAGGAGATGGTTGGCTCGGTTGGGTCTCATCGGCGGCATCGGCATCCCGTACATGAGGGGCAGGAGACGGGGGTCCAAGGACTGGGTCGGTTGGCGAAGATGGGCCATCACCGAAAAGATCATCCGCGTCGTTGTTACTAGTTTCGCCATCGTCGGTCAACCCAGGTAGTTCCACAGATGTGCTCGCGCTGGGCTCCTCTTCGGGGAGATCGTCATCGCTGATGTCCTCAAAGTCCTCCGCATCGTCGGCTTTGTTCGTCTGGTCAAAGGGTGTATCGTCGAGCTTCAAGCCGCCTGATGCTCCATCTTGGCTCTGCTCTAGGAGTTTCGCGATCTCTCTATCGTCTGCCGCATTTTGGGCTTTCCAGTCATTCTCGTCGAAGGACGAGAACTGGTTATCGTCCGCCATGATTAATTAAGCAGGTGGGCGCATTCCGTCGAACTTCCTCCAGGCAGCAAGGAAGGCGTTGCTCGCCCTAAACCATCCTTTTCGTTGTCTGTCTCTGTGTCGCAACGCTAAATTGTAGTGGTATTCGATGGGGCGTCGCTGTACGATTCCGAAGGCGAAGATGAGATGCACCGCGAGTTTGCTTGGAGTGTGAACTTCACGCTTGAGGAGGTGACGGATCGAAGGCGCGACTCGGCTGAGTCAGCATTTAGAGCTATACCTCCTCGGGAATACTTCGTCCCTTTCTACCTACCCAAGCTACCTACCCTAAATACATCTACCTAGAAGTCGAAATGCGGCTCTTTTAGTAAACACCTAGGCTTCGCTTCGAGACTTCAACATACCTAGTACAGCAGTCTATTTTAACTCTCGTAGAAGTGACATTGCTTAACTTGGTTTTTGACTTTTTGGGTTATTGATGTGCTCACTTGCAGGCTATTGATTGAGTTGGGGCCACAGCCGAGCGATGAGACTAATTTAGCCATTGTCGAGCTTCTGAAGGCGCTTGTGTTTGTCACCAGCCTATACATGTTAATTCCAATAGCATTTCCATGCACCAGGTTCAAGTATAGGGCACAGTTGCGGCAAAGAAAACCTTCTGTAAAGCGAGCCAAGTGTGTAGCCTGATCTCAGAGTATCGTATCGCTCACCTACAGCAAAGATGGCAGCGCAGCCGACCACCCTAGAATGTCACATAACGCGGACTACCTAGATAACTCGCAATAGTCTGACGAATCGTATTGCACATATCTAGGGTTGGATATGCCAATATCAAACACTATTGCTCCCATGCAATGGACTTCGTCTTGCTCAATGAAAGTTCTTGGCCTCCGTGAAAACAGCCCTTGCTAGCTTTACCCAAGCAAGGGTGTTCCCACTTCCCGGGTGCACATGGTTCGTGGGTCAGGTACAAGGTCAATAAGCTCCAGAGTCAATAATCACAAGGCACATGCGTTAGTGGGAATAGCGTCTAACATAGGACGTCGATATACGAACAGAGCAAACAATAAGATGTGATGATTGGCAGGTTTCATTTAAATCAAGGATTTGTATCTCGCTTCATCCTCTAATTTGTCAGAACCTGAGCCGCTGGAAGCAACCGTGCTCCGGTATGTTGGCTCTCTGGGCGGCTAGGGAAGGAATGACAGCCCAGATTTGAGCCCTGCAGACGTGTGGAGAGTGACGTGGACTGCCTCTCCTGAGGATTAGGTTGGCGTGCAGCTAAGGCATATCAGAACCCACTGCATGCGCCACAGAGGTCCCGATTAGATGCTACAATGAGTGTCACAGCTGAAATGTCAGACATTACATTACGAGCTCAATGCTCGCGGCCATGTCTCACCGTGCTTAAATTTCTGCCCTTGTGCACGTAACTGATGTGTTTTCCTGTCGCAGCCTGCTTCTCAATCGCAAGTCCGTATTCTTCCCTGCCAAGTATCCAATTGTGCGCCCGCGGAGTCCGCTTGTTCACTGGGCCGTTCAGTCCGTCATTTTACTCACGGAGGCTTCTTGGCGCCCAGCGTCGTTAATCATCAAGGGACCTCTGGGCTGTGATTGCACGTGAACAGCCGCAAGTGCTCCCGGATCACGGTCGCCAATCCAGCCCAAAGCAGCATTGCTGCGTGCGCGCTACGCCTGGCTGCCGTCGCAGGATCCAGACGAAAGCCCTCAGTCCAGGATGAAGGCGCTCGGGCTGGCTGTGTCTGTACTTTGTGCGGCATGTATCACCACTGGCGCCGCCATGCCCGCCACACCCGGCGCGAGCATTGCTGAGAGAGCCGAAGTCCCTGGCGAGCCCGACTTCCCAGAATACAAGTATTTTCGTGAGTCTTTATGAGCCAACATATCTAAGACCTATATGCTAATCGTGACTAGACGAGTCAAAGTTGGTACCACACTTCAATCTGCATAGGGCTGCGTAACGGGCAACATATGCTAACACGAAGATGCAGACAAAATTCCCATTATGATAGCAGATTTTTCAAGTATCAGTACAAAGAAGATTACCAAAAGGTCCTCATCAAAGGTTTGGTACAAACATACCTATCAACTTTTCGAAGCTTAGGCATCCAGGTTCGTACCAATCTCAACCAGTATTCTACCAGGCCATTCTCTAACTACTTGAAAACAGACCTGGCTCATGCATGGGAGTTTATTAGGATGGTGGTTTGGCCGTAAGGCATGTTGATCCATCTCACCCCCCTTCCCATATAGGAGTCCTAACGGCTTAACAGATCATGCCCTGGGACCTTGATGCAGATGTCCAGATAACAGAGGCCGACATGTATTTTCTTGCGGCTTATCACAACATGTCAACCTACTACTTCGAGAATGATGAGATACCGGAAGGCAGGTTGTTCTTGCTGGAGATTAACCCGCATTATAAACTTCGAGAAACCAAGGACAGACAGAATGTCATCGACGCAAGGTGGATAGACACAACGTCGGGTCTCTATATCGACATTACCGCCGCGCGCTATGCCATCAACCACGAGAAGGGCGAGGGTGTGTTATTTGACAAGAATGGTCACGAGTATCGAGTATGTTGGCACCGCCGTCTTGAAACGCTATTGGAATTCCTTTAACTAACTGTGTTCAAAAGGACACTTATTTATACCCCTTACGTGACACCACCTTTGAGGGTGTGTCGGTGAAGATTCCATATAGTTACAAGGAAATGCTGGCGGCCGAGTATGGAGAGAAGGCCCTGACAAACAAGTTCTTCAATGAGTAAGTATTAACCGCACTAAAACAAGCAGAAAACAATCTAACAGTCGCGAACAGCCACACATACGACGAGAATCAAGAGCAATGGGTGTTAGCAGCACAACCTGATTGGTGATTTGACACTCGTTCTTTGTTATTATTCCACCGGCGTTAAGGGTTGCACGGCGACATGGCTCAATGGGATCATGGGGACAAACACGGTTACGCGGAGCATACCTAAGATGAAGTTACAGCAAGCCACAGAATTGAATTATCACTGTCTTTTCCGACCCTAAATTTCGCTTGCCATGTTGTATTGAAGGTGGTTGTGCTGGTTGTACAGCGAAGTGTGACTGGCCCCAGGTGCTGGAATGCCCCGCCATCAGCTCCCGCCAGAAACGCGTCTGCCACACTTACTCAACGCGTCTAATTGGATCCATCAACATCCAATCCTACTCTCAACGTCATTGTCTCTGTATGCGCGCAACGGTCATTTTCGTAGCAGGACTGATGCCTGCGACTCAAGGAGCCATATTTTGGCGCTTCAATATATATAGGCCTCTGTGAAGCGGCGCAATCCGTCCACGATGGCCACGGGTAGGTACATCTCTGGCCCATATATCTGGTCCCTCTGCTTATCATGACCAATAGCTCGGGAAGCTCGCGCAGAGCGTCTCAACGACCGTCTTCGTGGTGCGCAGTAAGTAGAAAAATAAATAACTACCTGAAATTCTTTATGTGGTCGCTCATGGTCCTAGGCGCGTCAATCTTGGAGACGACTCGTTCAACCTCGACATACCCGGTCTTGACCCTGCCGTGTTCGCGGCGCCCCAGCCCCCGTCGTCCCCTCGCCAGCCAGGAAGTTCATCTGCGAAGAGGCGGAGGCTCAATGACGAGGCACCGGATTCCGCCTCGAGTGACCGCAGTGGCGGCGGCGCACCCAAAAACCCATACGATATACCGGATACCTCAAAGGATTCCGAACCACCGGCGAATGCGAGCGCAACGACCGGCGAACAGGCAGGAGAAGGGGTAACCGGAGAATCGCCAAACCCTCGAAACGAGAATTCGAACCATGTCCCTGATTCCGAGGGGGAGCCGGAAGACGAGCCGGACGAGCTGGAAGTCCTACCGGAGCCGTCGAGCAGTCGCGCGCGCACGTCCTTTGTCGAAGAGATAGAAGAAAGTCCCGTCAGTAAGCCTGGTAGCGGCCGGAGAAGAACCGTGGCCGTCAGCAGTGCGCTTGCGTCGAGCGCAAGACTGCGCGATGAGATGGGTTCCGACAGCAGCATGCCCTCGTCGCCCCTCACGCGCAAATCACGGAGAAGTGACGCTACATTGTCGGATAGGAGGGCTTCTAGGTTGTCGGCGATGGAAGAGCTGCAGTTTGACGAGATTGATGAGATCGCAAGTCAGTTGTTATCGCAAGCACAAGAGAGATCACCTAGTAGGGAGCTCGGGAGTGTTGTAGAACCCGGGGAGATGGAGGTAGTACCAGCTCCCGACGACCACGAGGAAGAGGAGGAGGAAGAGGAGGAGGAGGAAGCAGAAGAGATCAGTGCGACAGAGGCGGCAAAGGCCCTCCGAGGAAGACGCCCCAGGCAAAGCCTTCGTTCTGGGTCCATTGAGTTAGGATCAAGAGACCTCGGAGAAGGTGATGAAGACGACTATGAAGCAGAAGAAGAGGAAGAAGAAGAAGCAGCCGAACCTGTCCCCGAACCAGCTCCCCGGAGGCAACGTGGGAGGCCCAGCAAGAGTCCCGCCACACAGAAGCAACCCACCCAGAAACCACGGAAACGAGCATCACAAAAACAGAAGCCCGAAAAACCTCGCCCAACGGCACCCCCCAAGCCGAGGCGCTCCTCCGGGGCTCGACGTAAGAGCGACGAGGGCAGCGTTGAGGACGGTGGCGAGGGAGAAAACGCCATTGAAGTCACGGTGCAGAGGTTCGTCAACTTTAGGAAGCGTCGTAGGAACGATGACGAAGAAGCGGACGACATCGATCCGCTGCAACTTGACATACCCTTCGCGAACAGCAGCCGCGAAAATGCGGTCGACGTCTTTGCCCAAGTTTGCGAGGAAGTCATCAGCAATACACTAAGCCAATTCGAACAGCATGCTCAGAATGCGCCAGATGCAGCGAAGAAGAAGGAGTTTCGCATCAAGATTCGAGCTGTTGAAGCCTATCGCGAGGTGCTAAAATCTCGTCTGTTACAACATGTGAGTCTGTTGGAGAATCATTGGGTGGACTATTTACTGATGTTTTAGGCTATCCACCTCAATTACTGGCACTCGTTACGAAAGCGGGTTCGACAGACTCAGAAAGAGAAACTTGCTTTACGAGAGGAGATTCTTCGCATCAAGGGCGAGAGGGAGCAGGTCGCTCTTCGGATGGATGCTGTAAGAGCGAAGTATGAAGCAGACAACAAGGAAGCAACAGTGAGTCGTCGGCACTTGAACAATGTTTCCTTTAATGGCTACTAATGGGAGACCCTAGTTCCTCCTCAACACATCAAGTACGATGTACGACGTTGAAATGGCTGTATCGAAAGGCCAAGACGCACCGCAACTATCTGGAAAGGCCCAGAAAGAGGCCGAGCTCTCGAATCTCGAGTTCCTCGTAGCCCAAATAACAGATCAAGTCAGCTCTTCAAGTGGGAGCGGTGGAACTCTCCACCAGGTCCAGGATTTCAATGCATTCCTGGAACGAGCAGCGCAGGCGCTCGAATCCAGATGACCGTCATGATACAAGTTATGTTCGTTATGATTAAAAAATGAGAACGCCAGGCCTAAAACACAAGGGAAGTCCATCTAGCTGATCTTGGCGTTGCTAAAATCCATCTCCGGATGCTGGGACTGAAACTTCTTAAGGATGTCAATCTTCTTCTGCTCGTCCGAGGTGGGAAGGCCGGCCTCCTTCTGGCGCTGGTCAAACATCATCTTCTCCACCATGCCGCGTGTCTCGCCGTCGAGGTCGGAGAGCTTGGAGGACTCGGGCTGGATCTTCGAGACGTCGATCTTGGGAGCCGTGGTGACGACATGAGCCCACCACTCCATCTTGTTAACCTTGTCGAGATGGATCTCCACAGTCTTGGTTCCGTCCGAGTTCGTGCTGAGAGTCCAGGTCGAGTCCTCGGTGTTCACATCGTGGGGAGTGTCGCCCTGGAAAGCGGTTTCATGTTAGCTCCATGCCGGCACGCAGCAACATTGGGGCGGGGTTATGAACCTGAATGACTGGGTCCTGTCCCTTGATACCAGCTGACAGCTTCTTCTTCTTGATATCGACGACGAGGTCCCGCGACTTGAGGTTCCCGGGGACGGTGAACGTGATGTCGAGCTCAGAGATTTGCTGGGTCCATTTGTAAGGCAGAGCAGCCTGCTCCTCGGCCTCCTTGGCGCGGGCGGCAGCGTCCTCGACGGGATTGGGATCTATTAGCTGTTAGATATAGTTCTAATAAGAATACCAGCCCAGAGGGACTTCGAGTCCTACACACCTTTGTCGGCCATGATTTTTGTGATGAAGCTCTGGTGCAGGTGGGATGGTTTGGAGAGGCAGTGGCAGGCTACATGGAGGGGCAATGCTTACATAGTACAGGGAGGTGGGACGCGGAGATCTTAGCGCCTTCCGCCTAAAATCTAGAATGTGCTTCGCCCATTAATAAATCACCACCCTAGACGCCCCAGCTCGTGGGTCCAAGCTTCCGTTATCTGCAAACCAGCCTCGTCTGGTCTTCACATATCCTCCAACACCGAGTTCACACTCCCCGCCCAATTCAGACCCCCAGCTTCGACCACCAAGCGGCAAGCTGTAGCCATGTCGCGAAGTGCCGTCTCGGTCCGCCACGGCGGGACGACCGCGCCCCAACTCGACGAGGACGAGACATGCCCCGTGTGCAAGACCACCCGCTACTTCAACCGGGACATGGAGTTCCGCATCAACCCCGAGTGCTACCACCGCATGTGCAAGACCTGCGTGGAGCGCATCTTCAAGGACGGCCCCAACCAGTGCCCCTACGCCGGCTGCAACAAGACGTTGCGCCTCCGCGGCTTCAGGTCCGCCTTCTTCGGCGACCTGACGGTCGAGCGCGAGGTCGACATCCGCCGCCGCGTCGCCGCCATCTTCAACAAGGTCGAGGACGACTTCGAGGACCTCGACGCCTACAACGACTACCTCTACATGGTCGAGTGCCTGACCGAGGACCTCGTGAGCGGCACCGACGACGCCAGGAAAAAAGCCGAGGGCCAGCTGCAGGAGTGGGAGGCCCAGCACAAGGCCGACATTGAGCGGAACAAGCGCCTCGCGCGGGAGACGGAGGACGCGCGGCAGAAGCGCCTGTCCTCGGAGAAGGAGGCGGCCCGCCAGCGGAGGATGCTGGAGCTGCAGGAGGAGGCGGACGAGAAGGCCAGCGCGGCGCGGTTCCGCGAGGAGATGCTCACGTCCCTGCAGAGCGCCGAGGCCGGCAAGGCGAACGAGGCCATGGACAAGATCCTGCTCAGGAAGCGTGGGCAGCAGCGGCGAGACGCGGTGCTCGATGCGGCTGCCGCCGCCACTGGCGGGAGCGGGCTGTCCATCCGTGGTCTCAGAGAGAAGAAGGTGCAGGTTGTTGATAATAAGCCATATGATCCATTCGGTGGATTGGATATGACGACGACGAGGATCGACCTGTCCAACGAGAAGCTTAGCGAGTACAAGAGCGACAACCTGGATCGTGCCAGGAGACGGGACGAGCATAAGGCAGGGGGCTACTCGGCCGAAGAGTACCTCAGCAGAGCTCTCTTCGAAGCCTTTTCTGGGCTGGGCGTTTTTGTCGAAGAGGATAAGATGGCAAAGGGGGTGTCCACAGCTGGTGCAGCCCTGGCTGCCGCCACTGGGCAGACGGGCGGTAAGATGGACGTCGACGACCTATTCTGATACGGCTTGTTTGGTTCATTCAATTCGCGTTCGATACATACTCATGTGCATAGCCTTTGGCGTTGGGGACTAATAAAATCTGGGTTTGGTCAAGAGACCTTACCACAGACGGGTTGGCGAATCGGAGTTACTATTTATCACTCATTGGCTAGAAAAAGACCAATGCGCTCATTTGTTTATAGACGGCGGTTTAGCGAAATTTTGGAGTCTTGAGATTTAAAGAA